TCATGGTCCTGACAAAGTGTTGTTATTTTTCGGGTCAATCAGAAATACAATTTGGCTGCCATGGCCGCTATTTTGCTACTAAGTTCTAATAGGCCGATCTCACTTAAAATTGGTCTAGGAATGATCAGCTCATGGTCCTGACAAAGTTAAGTTAACATTATACTATTTTTTACTCAAATTGGTACATATTTCAACAACAAAAATAAATATTGTAGGACTCAGGTGACCGTTAAGGCCCATGGGCCTCTTGTTTGAAATGCAATACTATTCAATATGTTGCTAAATTAAGGAGTATTCTGTTAAATTAAAAAAAATGTTATACATGATGTTTATAATTTAATCCATAATGTGATATTTTTTTAATCCTTTCAGATTACATGGCTGTAGTTTTAAGAAAATATATCTTAAATTAAAATGCTGAAAATTTCCACCAGAACTTCTTTATTTATTTTTTCAAAAGAGAGAAAAATCAGCCTTTATCTCATTTTCTTGACACAGGAATTGTGAAAAAATCTAGCTTGAAAAGTTCAAATAAGATATTATTCGCCTTTAATTCCGTGCCTTCAATCAAAAAAATAAAACTAATAAAATCCAAATCAAAAGTAGCCTCAGTGATGCAATATTGATAATTATTTTTCCTTTGTTTACATTCACCGTAATTCATGTTTTATGTAAAAAAAAATAGTCTACTGTTACCGGTCATATCACAGAACACAATCTATAACACTGTAATTTACCGTAGATCAAGCTGTAATTTACATAATAAACATTCTTTAGTTAAGGAGACAATCAGTAATATATAAATCGAATAACCACATGCATATCTTCACTTTTCAGGTAAAAGTTGACCAAGGTGATCCTCATAATGGCTGAAGGTGGGCCCCGTCCGGAACTAGACCTACACTTACTGGAGTGTCCAATCTGTCTGGAGCGACTTAGACAACCAAAGTCATTACCGTGTCTCCACTGCTTCTGTCAGGATTGTCTCAGGACCTACATCACCAAGGAGTTGTCTGGTAAGATGGCGTCTGGGACATCCTTTCCGTGTCCAGTTTGTAGAGGGATGGCCACCCCTGTCAATCAAACGGAAACCAAGGAAAATTGGCAAAAACAGTTCCAAACTGATGCTGTCATCCAAGAACTTATCAAGCTTAAGGTACAGTCGTCTAAACCACTGTACTGCACACCTTGTCAAACCAAAGGTAATCCGTCCAATCCTGCCAGGTTCTGGTGTAAGAAAAATGAGTCCGGTTTTTGTGAAACTTGTAAAACTGACCACCACGATATCGTACATATTGGATGTGATATATTAGATATTACCAGGCACGGCAGCAATAGACCAAAACAAAACTCGTCTGTTCCTCACTGTAACCAACACGACGAGAATATGGTTTGGTACTGTGAGGATCACAAACTTCTCGGTTGTAGCATGTGTGTCTTCAAAGACCACAGACGTTGTGAAGCAGTGACAACAGCGACGGAATACATTCAGAAGCTAAAAGCAGGATCACAACTGACAGATATGCAGGCAGCACTGAAGAAAGGAGCAGAGGTCATGCACTCTTTAGTGAAGGACTTTGACGAACAGCTCCAAGTCATGGTAAAGAACCAAGAAATCGCTCTACAGAGCATTACAGATCTTCGCCAAAGGATCGACAAACGGCTTGACGAGCTTCAGAAGAACTGCACTGACAAGTTGATCACGCTGTTCAAAGACGAAAAGAGGAAATTAGACGACTCCTCACGGCAATGCGAACGTCTAAAGAAGAGTATGCTCAATACCCTGAAGTCCATTAAAGCTACAGAGGAAAACGATAACACTGAAACGATAGTGTTGTATCAGAGAGGACAGGCAGAAGTGGAGTCGTGTATGGTCCTGGTCACGGAGATGAACGAATCTTTCACGTCTGTCAATGTTAAGCATCAGACCAAACCCGAACTTGTAACCATTGGTGATGACGCTATGGGGGATATCGTCGTTGAGAAACTACCACGACGTTTTCCTGAAAGTCATGGTTACCTAACTTCACCAATGTCCGGGCGTCGCGTGAGAGAAGTACAACAGTTTGATATGAAAACTACATCAGATGGGAGCAATTGTTTTGCAGTTGGCGTTGTGTACCTTCCGTATAATCAAATAGTAATAAGTGATCGCAACAACAAAAAACTGAAGCTGTTTACAGATGAAGGACAGTGCCTGGATGAGTTGACCATTCAAGGAACTCCTTGGGACATATGTTTTGTGGACGATGAAACAGTGGCTGTGGCAGTTAGCAGTTCTGATGGTATCCATGTCGTGACAGTCGAAAACTCAAAAATGTCATGTTCTTCCGTGATCTGTTTGCCAGACGGCAAAGGCTGCCTTGGTATAACCCATATCAACGGAAGATTTGTCGTTTGTACAAACAAAAAAGAAGCAGAAGTGTTCAGTGTGACACAGGACGGCACCACTGAGCTGTTACATCAGTATAGTGGTAAGTGTTATTTCCTCTCACATGACCCAATAAATGAAGACATACTGGTTAGCTGTTCCACTAATACTAAAGGAGAAGCTGTGCTGTCCCGACTGTCGGCTGACAAACGTAACACGACTGTGATACAAGAGGGTATTGTGAGTACTGCTGCAGGAGTTACCGTTGATAGGGATGGCAACATTTACTTGTGCGGTTATGGTTCAAACAACGTCGTGCAGATGTCTGGGGACGGGACACACGTCAGAGAACTGCTGGTGTCATCAGATGGAATTAACCACCCATTTGCAATAGCTGTTTGTGGTGACATGTTTGCAGTCACTGCATACAGCAAGAATTATGTTCGCTTGCTTCAGCTCTATTAAAGCTAACAACAGCTCGTCTAAACTATGTAGAGATCTATTCGCGTACCAGTATTTTTACCACTCTACCCCGTCCTCAAAGTCCAGGGCTCAACCCTCGGAACATGTATCCTCTCTGCACCCCAGAAATACGTCACGAGAAAATGTCAGGCTCTTTAGGTCTCGCACAACTACATCAGCCAATCATCAAGTGTTTCATACGATTATAATCCCTAGTCTTATGCCTTTAATAAGATTAAATTAATCGTGGGGAAATGTAACAGTAAAATACACAGGCTCTGAAGTTGGGTGTTGTTCCTCTGTAATCTTCATTGAACAAGCGTCAGCCCAGTGATTGGTCAGGTTTTACTACATGGAACCAATCAAAAAGCTTACCGCAAGCATTAGTTTTTGTTATGACATATTTTAAAGGGATGCGGAGAAGTTACGCGAGTCGGGAGCAGAACCCATCGATTTCAAAGATGATTCTGTATTTAAATTCCAGTGGAGTGACATCTTACCAAGGATGGACTGTTCTGATGTTTACCGTATCAATGGTTGGAACAATGTACGTAAAACCTATATTGAAGACTTTGTAAATATATAGTGTTCTGACGTATAAACACCTGGCATAATGTGCTTATTACAAAAGTCGGAATCTTTGTTGTTTCATTGTTTCTTTGCTTGGTAGGTTTTGTACTCATATCTAGAAAATATATGACATTGTCTTGTTTTTTGAAATTATGATAAAATAATGAAGTATAATATAATACTAAAGCTATTTGAAAAATAATAGATTTGTTTCAGTAAAAAGAACCAAATTATCATTTTGAACTGTTTTTATGCTTTGCTTACAAGTAAACTTACTCTTAATTGATATTTTGTATTGGGTTTTTTTCACAAACGTTTATCAGATAAAGGGCTTTTCACATCGCCATCAAATCGTTCTTAAAAAAGTCTTGTTGCCACCTTTTCTAAAAACCAAGATGGCCACCAGACAGCCATCTTGAATTTTGACAGTTCTATTTTATATGTATGATCACCTTGTTGAAATACACCAGGGCCTGTATTTATGAAACCGTTCTCGTGCTCAAGCATGGATTTTGTGTTCAAGCGTGATTTCTTGATCCGGTTATAACTTAATAATACAATCTTATTTTGTCAATGATTTGGAAAAACAGCCGAATGCTATTTTCAATGTTTTCATTTGACGTTTTGATCGTTTGACATGATTCAAATCAGTTATAAGAAAAATGGTTTGAGCACAGAATCTTGGCTTGAGTATGAGAAGGATTTCATGAATACGACTCCTGGCTAATGAGAATTCTTCTGACATTGACAGCACTAATAAATATTCAAGAAGTACACTTATTTTAAGCATTTTGTATACAGTAATGCAATTCTTATCAAATAACATTTATCATATTGGCATATAACATATGACGTTATATTACTAGCTTACAAGATTCCTGTTTAGGATTTCCAACATGGAACTGGATAATAGTTGGTGTAAGTAAAATGAAGAGCAAAGAAGATCATCTTTTGTAGATCTGATAAAAATCCTTTTATGGTCGGAGCCAAGATCCTTCCAGGATCTATTAATTAAGAAGTTCTTGACGGATCTTCCTCAAATTTCATGTTTCCATTGGTTCTTTGTTGTGCATGTTTCGTTTTAAGATTGATAAAACACAAGTGCATTAAGTGTGTCATCTTGAAAGTTAAAAGTTTGATAGCGGTGATTTTTTAGCTAAGGCGTTAGCCGCCAGCTATTGGTATTACTTTAGTTAATGAGCTCAGATATTCATAAATGTCGATTTCACACAGACGGCCTCTAGCGGTAGTCACTGGTACTAAATTGAATCATATACCGGACCTACTGTCTTTATTATGCGTAACTTTGGACTCAAATGCACTTGAATGGCTTGTAAATATCATTACTTTTCTTTATAGAACATATGATCTTATCACAACGTCGTATTCTTATTGAAAATGCACCCTGTTTATCTCAATCGGGAACTGCTACTTGAATGTAGGTCATGCATGCTACACGCAACTTCCGGTAAAAATACTTCAGTTAATGAGCTCAGATATTCATAAACGAGACATAACGTCACCTTCTAGTAATACTAAACAAACTGCAAATAAAATCCATTACCACGGACTCAAGTTCACTCAAACGTCATTGGATATAATCTTATTCTTAGTTAGAACTAAGTATCCTTCTAAAACTTCGTATTTACTCTTGGAACTGTCGCTGGATTAACCCTTTACACGGAAATATTGTCCTGTGATTGGCTAAAATTGGTGACATTTACGTCCCTGTTTACAATTATATATTGCGTGGTCAGAGCTATGAAGCGGTCCTGTTCCAACTAACTGAGGATAATCAAAAGTGCTAATCAGTAATAATATATCTGATTCACGCTTCATATGATTATAATGTTATCAAAATATTGCATATTCGTTCATCGTTAAAATAACAAATCCTTACTAAAAACTCTAAAAAAAGAAACGACGGCCATGTTAGATCACGCGTGATGTTATCCGTTTCCTTATATGGCCTTCACGGCCAAATATAGTATTACTACTGATGCGGTCATGTTTACTACAATTTCCATATTTGGTCATGACACCCATATTTAGACGTCTGACCTATATCGGAAAGATTGAGGAAGTTTCCAACATGGCAGTCAATTAGGATTTCGCTTGCACTTGTTACGTAAACTTGATAATTTAACGAAATATAAGGCGGAGTATAACTTACAATTATGTAGGAGATCAACATAAAAAGTTCATATTACAAACCTATTAATGGATACGGATCCTGTCAATTAATTCTAAAATCGCCTCCGTGTGATTCACACCAGGCTTGCCTAACTAAAATGGGATCAACCGGCCGGGGCAGATGAGACCGGGAATCATGTTAGAACTAGCCACTGTCCTTCTCTAGTTCCATATTGGTATTCTAACCTGAAGGCTTTTTTTACCTTCGCAGTATTATCATTTTGTTCTATTTTCATCATAAGATATGCTATTGCATTTTTATATCGCCTTCTCGCTAATTACAGCTCAGCCAGAAACGAAAATATGCTCCGATAGGCCTACATTTTATATGTCTGTTGGTGTGATTTGTGTTTTTCGTTTATTGAAGTATTACCATATAACAGGACTCTTTTATTTCAATATACACAAAAACAACAACACCTTCGGAATGATTTCAGACATATACTGCGGGAAAACACGAGTGATCTCCCTTACATTTAGACATGCGCACATTTTACTTTCGTTTTGTGTAGGCCTAGACATCATTCGCAACGCGAAGCGGAAAAGACGAAAATGCAGGCGAGTGTTGACTTAATGTTAGGCATGTTGTTTAAGCAGCATTGACAATGAACAATATACATACACTTCTGCAACGTTTACCTACTACTGATTCATAAATAAGGCTATGTATCCCGATTTCGGTGACTTGTGGCCAAGCATGCGGCCGAAGCCGCAGAGAATGGCGCATGTTGTCAGCGGCGATGACAAAAAGGAAGGTGCTTCTACGGTATGTATAGCAGTTATTATGCAAAAACAAACATAATAAACGGACGTTTTACTCTAGTGAATTACAGCGTCACGAGGAACGTCTTTCTCCAGACGTGTTGCAAAATTTTCGAACTGCTTAGTTGCAAACTGATTTCACTTAAGCGTTGTTTGTGAGGATATTTGGCCTTACATTTCTTCTCATTCAGTTAAAAAAAAACATGTTATAAACATTGTATTATTAGATTCATTGTGATGTTGGCTTTCATTGAAGTTTCAATTGTTATACTACTTGATGTTTTGGAAACTTAAACAAGTATAGTAGTTCTAAATATTATGAAATGACAGAAACATTAGGCCAAACAAATTACTTGTGTTTCTACTATCAGAAAAAAATAGGGTAGGTATGTATTAGCTAGGCATTTTATTGTTAATTTGAAAAATATCTTTACTGCGCTAATATAGAGCAGGAGTTCTGACTTTAACAGTGCATATAAAAACTTAAGGGTATTGTAGAACACAAATCTGAGATAAGTCTGGTTAACCACACTGGTGTCGAACACACCAATAAGTATAGTGTGTATAATATATCATAGTTTATACACATCATATTACTATTAGTGTGTCCAGTATCTGTGGGGTTAGCATAAACTCAATATTTGTTTTAAACTTTTAATTGGCCTTATATAATGATCATTTATAGGTCAGACAGGGTTTGGTTTCCAATTCGGAAACTAGACCTGTTAAAACAGTTATCATTTGTAATTTAGAGATTAAATATTTCTAAGCAGAAAAAAATGAACTATAAATATTTTTCAACCTTTTCTGAGTTGTACAATTTTAGAGTATCTTCTGTCTGAAATCTGAACATAACTTGTTTTATGATAAATGTGTAAAACAATTCCTCATACTGGGGTAAAGTTTTTCTATATATAGTCCCAAAAACTACAGATAAAATCCTTGAGCACGTACAAGATACAAAAATATATATTTTACGTCCATTTTGCAAAACATACAACATAAGCTACAAAGACAAAACATGAGTATAATAACAGAGACCAAAATATTACAACATGGAAAAATAAAATAAAAACATGTATGTACATGTAGTATACTGTAAGCTCAGAAAAAGAGTTTATCACTTGGAAAGCACTTAATAGGCACATTGAACACGGTAAGCACATCAGCACATGGTAATTTAAGCACATTTAGAACATTTGCATACAGCACATAAAAAACAAAACCATAACATGGAAAGCTTATTAGCACATAGTAGGCACATTTGCACATTGTAAGCAAAATAAAGGAGTGCAATGGACATCTCCATGTTTCCTGGTTAATTTCTTCTTTATGGAAACAACCAGGGGAGAGTGATGTTCTGCTTCATCTTTTGTATTAATGAAAACCGTGAATATCTAAGTGCGTGTGTTTAAACTAATTTTGTTTTGTTTTTACTGGTACCTTTTTATGTACACATGTTTTACCACCTAAGGAATTAGATGTCTTAAGCCCCCATATGATGTGCTGTTATAAGTTGAATTTAATGTACATTTTGTTTATATTTAGTTCTGCTACCAAAGAGATTGACTTATTGAAATGTTTTTGAAACATTTTAATGAACTCCTCAGCTTTAATGCCTTATTTCTCACTATACAAGCTCATATTGCTATGCCTCCTATTTGTTTGAATATCATCTCTAAACATTATTGCTGGTGCAGAAATTATATGGTAACTATGTTCTATTTTAGGGGGGGAAAGCAATCAATATTACAACAGACAGGGATGGTTATTGATGGGAGAAAGGAGGATGAGAAATAGGAACTGTACCAACTCTCTCATACCTTTGAGGACTTCATGAACTTTTTCAAAAGGCTGCAAGAACTATACCAACAGTGACATGACATTTTGAAATCTGTCAGTTACTTTATAGAGGAGGAACCTCTGACTAAATCATTTTCTCTCAGACACATGAAAGCCGAGTCCACAGATCCTTCCATCAGCGAATAGTTCAAATGTAGTTCAAATGCTTTCCTCGCAAACTTTTCCTTAATGGAGAAGTCAGTGATCTTTACTTGGAACAGATTGAATCTGTGAATATTGATGCTGAAAGCCTGATGAATGTGATTGAACAGCCCCTACTTGATGCTGAAACCCTGATGAATGTGATTGAACACCCACTACTGACTAAGGGCACAAATGTTGGAAACAACGTTTGTTTTGATCAATATAACACTATGGGTGGTGGGAGCAAATTGGAAAAAAAATTAAAA